TTGCCACCAGGGGGCACCTTAGGCAGGAAAGATGTAGCCGCGTGCTTACAGGACTCCAATTCGCCTCCCACTAATGAATCCCTTTGAGAGGCTTCAGAAAAACAGCGTAAGGTGTACCCTCCAAGCTGCAGTACGTCTCAGTTTAAGCTCCATGTGGCTGTGCTGCCTGTTATCTTGGAACGGTGCTCTGTTTCAAGCAGGAGCATGGATCCCGAAAGAAGAGTTGGAGGCATGTGCCAGATAAAGCAGGAGGAGCTGAGCACTGAAGACTCCCCTGCCACAAATGGGAGATGGTAGGTCAGGGTTTGTTCTGGAAACCCTTTAAAACAGAAAAACTGAGATGGAGTGGGATCCTCTCCCAACAAGAAACTGCAGTCAACACCGTTAGCAGTGCCCTACAACAATTATCTCTGCAGCTATGAAAGGGGATCTGCAGAAGACCCTGAACTATTTCTTATGAGCAAAACCTCAGGGGTCATTTGAATTACAAGGCTAGATCTCCAGTGAATCTTCTGTGAAATTAGCCTTGTGGAGAACCGGCAAATTCCAGCTCAAATTTTAGTCCGTATCTACCAAGCTGGTATCTCAGAAGATCGGGAGGTTTGTTGGAGCCACATCCTACAGCCTCAGATGGTTTTGACACTTTGGATATGACATAGGAAAAAAAATTAAATGACATTTTAGAAACTGTCCTTCACAAAGGAAAACAGCAAATAGCTGTAAGTTGCCATATATGTTTTCTGGTGTGCTTATGGATGAGCCTAACAGAGTGCTGCCTAAATTCATGATCTGGATTGCTGACCAGCAGACACCCTTTGGTGAAATCATTTGGATGTGCAGTAACAGAAAAGCTGCTGAAAGATGTTTCAGGTAAGGGTCTCTGAAGATTTTCATAACAAATCATATACCGTCGTTGTGTTTAGTTCCAAAGTCTGATCATTGTGTTTGCCTTTGTACTGAGGCAGTGCCTAAGCTTCCAGAAAAAAAAAAAAATAAAAAAAAAAATCTGATATTTTCCAACACTTTTGGTACCTGAAAAAATGGATGAATTGCTGGAAGTTGCTGGAAGACCTTGGAAGTCTAAGCCATGACTCTACCTGAGCTGACAAAGAGTTATTAGGAGACACTTAATCACAGAGCTCTGGAAACTGACTATTTCTTGATACGTTATAGCCTTTTCTGGTTTTAGGATCTCCAGTCTGGGATACATGAAGCCTCAGCAACGTTTGGCAACAAGATTTTTCATTGCAGGACGTGTGGCCAAACACCCTTCTGACATTATGACACCACTTCATGGATTAAGCAACTAAATAGAGAAGAAAGCCTCCTGAACCTCATTAGGACATTGGAAATGTTGGACTGGACTTTTTGAGGAAAAAAAATAAGGTGCATGGTAGATAATGTGAACCATAAATGTCATTACAAAGAAGTCTGGAGGTCTGTAGATTGTGCAGCTCCTACAGCCTCCCGTGACAAATAAGATCAGCCCCATGCTTATTTCTGCAGCTATGTAAAGGGATCCACAACAGACCCTGAAGTATCACCTACAGCTCATACGTGGTTTGCGTGCTCATCTGTCATCTTTAATGGGTGATTTGCAGCAAGTCACCTAAGCACCTGCTGTAGCCTGCCTGCAGCGGTACACCCGACGAGGCCAACAAGGCGAAGCTTATCTGCTCTGATATCGCAGCTCACCGAGGCTCAGCTAAGGAACGACTGTTGTGCATAGAGACTTCCAGCTGGGATGCAGGGCCTGTTCTTCCTGAACAGCCTGAGATGGGAATGCATCCTCTTCCCTGCCTGATTGAAAATGCCTCCCACAAGAGCAACACTATACTTGGTGACACCAAGCTTGGCCTATAATCCATACCGTGTGGCTAGGACCTTTGCATACTGACACCCTGGGTCTTCCCTCACCCCTGCGATTGTCCATGTTTTGCTGCGACAGTGAAAGCTCGCCAGGAAACAAACCCCGGACTCATTCACTGGTGGGCAGCGCTCCAGCCCTGTCCATCTGTGACATGTCCCCAGCCTGAGCCCACACACGTAAACACAGACTCCTTCCCTGAGGAAACACACAGCCATGAGCGTGTCTGTCTTTGACTCCATTCTTGAAATAAGGGAGAGAGGTGGGAGGGAAAAGTACATGGGCTTCTTAAGGCTCTGGGAAGGCAAGTTCTTTTAGTTTCCCATATGGCGTATGGGAATGGGCTGAGCAATGAGACTCCTAAGCAGAGGGCCTAAAAAAGCCCCTTAGCCCAGAGAAGCGGTGGGAAGAGAAGTAATTTTATTTACTTATTTATTTTTAAAGCTAATACAACGGTGTGGTTACGGGCTTTCCTAAAGCAAGGAAGGTTTTTTTCCTCCCAGACCAGCAGTGGCTGGAGGGCTTCAGGTCTGAAGCAGAGTTCACCATTCTGTCTGTGTGATGGTTTTGATTATGCCGGTCTCGTTTCATTTATTGACTCCGGCAGAGCCTGCAGGTGTGCGACCTCCACAGCTCCCTCGAAGCAAGCAGTCCTGAGGGAGAGCTATGGAAAAGGAGGTCTCTGGTTTCTGCTCTCCTGGTGGGAGCAGAGCTGCTGGAAGCCAGGGGCAGCTCCCACTGGAAGGGGCCGTGAACACCACACATCTCCTTGAGAGCTGTGACGACACCGTGGTCAGGGCAAGAAAGCCGAGAAGTTTGCCTCCTGGCAGCAAAACCTCTCTCAGACAAAACCACTGAGGGCTTTGACTGAAAGCTGAGGTCCGGCCTACAGCTGGTGAGGCCTGACCAAACGGCAAGTCCAGCCCGTGCACATTCCTGTGCAGACAGCCTCCTGCGCTTCATCCCGGCGTGCGCCGACTTCTGGTGTGACCTTTGGACAGCGCCGAGGGAGCCCTGTCCCCAGCTGATGAGGCTGGCAGATGGTCGCAGGAATTACATGAAATGAGTGGGGGATTAGCACAGGGCCGAGAGAGGTGAGCAAGGCTCCTGCATAGTGCTGCCGCTTCTCAGCATGCACTGGTGAAGGCGGACTTTGTTCTTGCCTTGTTGACTTCATTGATTTCCCCCTGGAAATAAAATTAGGCTCAACGGTAAAAGACTTCTTTGCAGGTCTAAGGAAGGGGAAGAAACTGTAATATCCCATTGTTATCTGCTATCTGTAGCCCTCAGCTCAAGTCAGCAATGATGTCCCACGGGACACGGAGGTGACCAAATGTGAAAGCAGATATTCTCCTAACTACTTCCATATCTGTAGCTCTATCTTCTAACTATCCATAGGCAGTGACAAAGGTGTTTATTAAAACCGAATAAGGTGGCAGAACCAGTAGAAGCTGTGGAGTTGAGGACTCCATAGAGACGTGCAGAAACCGGCTGGCGGCCCTTCATGCCGGCAGCCCTCTGTCCTGCAGCATTTCCCTCGGAGGAAATAGGGGAACGGCTGCTCACAGGGCTGGTGCTCACACAGCTGGTGCTGCCCTGACTTGCAGCTGCTGCCTCACTCCCTTCTGGACGACCAGATGGATAGAGCCAGGAGTACTGGTGGTGTACCTACACGGAAAGCTGAGAACTCTCCACGCTTTCTCATCTGCAAGTGGATTCTTCACTACTCATAGTATGGCACTGCTGCAGTGGTGGGGAAGATAAATGAAAATTGGAATAGGCCTCTGTAGAAACCGGATTATCCTCTAGTAATTTATCTTTGGTACCAAACATTAAAAGGTGATTGCTCAGCAAAAATTTGGGGGGAATCCTGAGGACTTACTCCAACATATTAAAGTATTCCAAAAATATTTTGAAATGAGCAGGGACTGGAATCCATCAATTTTTAAAATGGAGCAATAGTAGGAATATAAAATTGCACAAGTGCAGTTAGACGATACGTGCAGGTTGAATCAGCACATTCATCATCATGCCCAAGGCGAGCGGGAGCAGGGAGAGGCATTGCAGGTCGGTCTGATGCAAGAGCTACCTGCTTTTGAAATGCTGCTCACCGGGGAGATGGCCCAAATGGCTGTGGCTGCAGCCGCCAAGGGAGCTTTGTGGAGAGCACGGCCTTTGGACAGAAACACCAGGGCTGAGACGGGTCCAGACCCAGCAGAGCAGCAACTGGGGGCAGTGGGAGCAGTGCTCCTCCACCCCGGGGTGCTGCCAGATCCCACCAGGCAGGCACGCACCTCCCTGAGACCTGCACACGTGCGAAGGGGCTTGGCAGTAGCTGTGCCATTTGCACCATGCTCGTGTCCCTCTGCACCCTGAGCCATCCTGCAGCCAAACACGGCCGTTTGGATAAAACAACGATCGAGGCTTTGCATCTCCGGAGACTAGCAACTGTTTGTGCTGCCAACATCTCATCTGTTGCCGCTGTTGGACATGCACAAAGCCGCTGATGCTCAGACAAAAGTTGGTATTATTTACAGCTCCCAGTCCTGGCTGCTCATTGTGCGATTGCCAAAACAGAGTTTAAAAAGGAAGAAGCACTAACGGCAACTCTAAAGGTCTCCCAAGATAAAAGACAAATATTTGACAGATCTCTCCCAGGCAGCTGGTGGGACAAAGCAGCGAAGCTCTTGCCTCTCTAAACACTTTCCTTTCATTCTGTGACTGATGCTGCGTGGGTCATGCTTGATGCCAGCCAGGGCAGGGATGCTGAAGAGGAGCACTTGCCTGTGTGCAGCAGCCACGGCTTAGGTTCCCTTTCAGAACCTCCGTTGTCTGGTGAGGAAGCCTGATTTCGGTTTCAAGAGCTTCACAATAGCCCTGGAGCTTTGCATGTGTGGCGTGTCCTCGCTCAAGCGCCTGGCAGATGGAGCAGCACAAGAGGGAGGAAGCAGAACCCATGCACGCTGGTCTCCAGCATGCGGGGGCCATTCAAAGAATTATCACAGGTTTCAACTGACGTAGGGTTGTCCTCACCACCAGCTCCTGTCCAAGCCATCATTTTTCTGCCAACCAACTTCCAGTGATTGGATCAGAACACAACCCAAGACATACAGACACAACCACCCACACGAGCTGTTTGAAATATTTTTAAACGCTTTTATTTACAGTGCTAGTTGAAAACAATATATATATTTATATCTATCATCCTCGTGATGTCTGTGCCATAGAAAATGCTGTGGCTATATTGCCTTTAATTTACAAAAAATGGTCACAAGAGAATCTAAAGGGAAAAAATGGAAATCAAAGTTTGGTCCCCAATTTACGTATCTCTTGATCTGTTTTAAAAAAGCCTCCAAATTAAAAAAATATGCAGTTATGATGAAATTCATATATAAAAACAACCCTTATCTTCTGAAAAATTCACGAGGGCCAGCTTGCTGTCTGTCATGTAAACTTGAAGAAAAGAAAACCTAAGATAAATCCCATCTCTGTGTATGGTTTAATAGAACCGTTATTTGCTTGTAATACTTTGTCTCTCAGGGTTCAATGGGAAAGCAGATGAGAGGAGGCCTAGGACTGGAAAATGCACCATGAGATCTGTGCCTGCAGCCTCCTGGACTCAGGGAGAGTATCTGACAGCAGGTCCCGGGAGCAGAAGCTGCCAAGAATCTCACTCATACTAGTGAAAAAAAGGGAGGGCGAGTGAACAGGAATGATAGGTGCTTGCCACGTGAAAAGCCTGGCATATGGGCCTGGTAAGGTTATGCACTGGGTCACAATGGGAAACAATGAGATTCTTGAGGAAGAGGTTTGTTTTTGAGTGGGGCACAGCTGGAAGGATGTGGGGGATCAGAATAACTCCAGGTGGGGAATGTCGTGGACGGACTGGGATCTTCGGGTGGGAAGGAAACTGCTGTCTTCCCTGTTTGAGAGCATTTGTAACCTTTCCTCATCTGAGATTGTGTGAAGCCAGAGGCTAATGGACAGTGCAAGCACAGGCTGGAATGGAGGAGGAGAGATGGACGGAACAGAGGAGATGGAAGGGGAGGAGGACTCAAGCTGAAGACCCGTTCTCTGTCTTCTGTCTCTTTGGATCCACTTCATCCTGCGCATCACAAAGAGAAGGAAAAAAGGAGTTACTGCCAGTTATACCACGACACAGAATTTCTCCACAAAACTCTTACTGCTGTTCTTTTCTCCGTATGGAAATCTCTGCCTGACCCACACTAAACCCACTCCTCTTTAAAACATCTTTGAGTGCCTAACAACTGTTCTGTTAGTGGCACAGTTAAGACGTGGACAGCTCCATTTGCAGGAATACCTGCACATTCCTTCTTACAGACCCCGAGATCCACCCCTACAAATCCATCTTCTGGCCGGAAGCCCAGCAATCACAGGTCTTTGAGGGGTCATCATCCAGCACCTTAACTGGACCTCGACCCTACAACAAGCCCACCAAGTTCTGTTGTCCCCCTGCCACATCAGATTTGTTGACCCATCTGCTGCCGAAGCAGCAATGAGACCTGAGGCTGATTCGAGACACTCAGCAACAGCATCCACATGGATTTCATCAGCACAGAGCTGGCAACCTCAAACTTCTCAGTGCCATTACTCTCACGCGATCACTCACCTCTTCCTCCTCTGCAGATCGTTTTTCTGCATGCCCATCCTGCTCTTGCCCATTCTCGTCTCCTTCTAAGCACAAAGAAGAGAGGAATCACGGGTTAACTGAAGTAGCATTCAAGGCAATGTAATCTCAGTCAGAGGGCACAGAGGAGGAATTTCCCTTTGCGATCTTTCATTCCCCACAGCCTGATTACCCGCCCACATATTCTCCCTGTATTAATTATACGTACCGTCATCCTCATCGCCACCTTCCTCTTCATCCACATCCTCAGGATTCTCTTCCTCATCCTCTTCAGCTCCATTTTCCTCATCCTTAATTAAGCAAATTGGTCAGAGCCGGAATTGGCATCAGGACAACATTTCCACGAGTTCCTTGCTGCAAGCATTATCTGCACACCTCCAGCCACTTCAGACTCCGGTCTCAGGCATGCATCAAGTGGGTGACCTCTGCACTGTTATTCAGACAACATCCTTCCCACCGTCCCAGTTGCCCCATGCAGCCAGAACCCTCCTCCCACCCTGCCTCCTTTACAAAACCAGTCCCCCCAGTCCCTCCCCACCAGTACGAAGCTGTGACGCCCACCAGCTCGCACCCTGACAGGCTGCTGCTGTCCCAAACCAGCAACCCAAGCATCCCCCTGGCGTGCTCGTAATACATCCGTTATCACACTGATTTGGACTTTCACCAGTCCGTGCTTTTCCTTGCTGGTCCTCCCTCCAGCCGTATGTTCCTTACAGACCTCAGGATGCCCGAGTGGGTGCAGGACCACATCCCCTGTCACCTCCTCTCGATTCCCACTTGTCTCTGCTCTCCCCTTTGATCCTTTCCCAGCTCACGGGGCCGTGCTGACGATGCTTAGTCCTTCAAGGCTCATTCTCCACAATTACCCACCAGCTGGCTCTTCATTCACCCCCCCTTTCCTTTACGCGTTCCTCCTGCATCGCCCACGCTCCCTTGGCGTTCCAAGCTCGCAGCGACCCGGGGCTCCCGGCGCCGTGCCCAGCACCAGCCCTCACCTCCACCACCTCCTTCTTCTTCTCCTTGTGCACCGCCTTCTCCTCCACCTTCTCCTTCTTCTCCTTCATCTCCTGCACACCAACCGAGACAAAACCATCGTGGCGCGCTCAGCACCGAGCCACAAAACCGGGAGGAGGGGGGGGTGGTGGTGTTGGTGTTTCATTTTGGGCGGGTTTGGGCTTTGTGGTGTGCTCGTGGGACACGCGCGGCAGCACCCCGTGTGTGTGTGTGTGTGTGTGCACCGGGGGGTGCTGCGGGCGCTCTTTCCCCCAGATTCCCGCCACCACCACCCCCCCCCCGCGATTCCCGCCCGCGCCAAGCCGCGCGCGCAGCCTCCCGCGCGCCCCCCGCCCCGCCCCGCCCCAGCCCCCCCATTGGCGGAGGCCCTCGCGCGCCCCCCTGCCGGCCGCCCGCGCGCGCGCAGTGGGGGGGGTGTTGGGGGGGGGGTTCCGGAGCGCGGAGCGGGCGAGCCGCAGTCCTCGCCCGGCGTGGGCCGGGGGAGGACGCGGGGCAGGGGGGGGTGCGCGCTCGGCGCGGCCTCACCTTGGCGCTCAGCTCCGCCGGCGCCTCCTCGACGCGTTTCTCCGACATGCTGGCGCTGAGGGGGGGAGGGAGGGAAGGAAGGAAGGAAGGGGGGGTTAAGGGGTGGGGGTGCGCGGTGAGGAGCGGCGAGTCCCGGCGGCGGCTCCCGAGTCCCGGTGGAGTCCCGGCTGCGTCTCCCCGCCCCGCGGGCCAAAGTACTCAAAGGGTCTGCCGCGATCGGGGGGGAGCCCGGCGGCGGAGGGGATTTATACAGCGCCGGCTGACGGGGAAAGGAGGGACCTGGCGAAGGGAGGGGAGAGGGGACGGCCGGGAGGCGGAGGAGGGACGGAGGGCGGAGGCCCGGCGGAGCGGGGCCGCCAGAACAATGCGCGGCGGGGCCCCCTCCCCAGGCACCCCCCCTCCGCTTCCCCTCACGGGAGCCCTCGCCGCCTGCTGCCGGCCCCTCCCCGCCCGCAGGTGCCCCGGAGGTGCCAGGGCGGGGCGGGAGCGGCGCTGCCGCCTGGTCCCTCCTGGCCCCGCCCCCCCCGCCGCGCGCGTGCCGCGCTCCCGCCTGGAATTTTCCACTCGCGCCCGCCCCCCCCCCCCCTCCCCTCATGGTCCCTCCTCAACGGCCGGTGGGGGGGGGGGGGGGCGGGCTGCTTTTCCCGCTTGCCCATATAAGGAGGGGCGGCGGGGCGGGAGCCCCCATTGGGCTATTCAAATGAGCCGTCTGCCTGGCAACAGGGCTCCCATTGGCTGACGGGCGGCCCTGTGGTGGTGGTGGTTGGGGGGGGGGGGGGGTGAGGGGACGGTTGGCGCAGCGGGCTGAGGGGGTTGCGGGGAGGTGGCGCTGGGAGGGAGGCCGGCCCCGGGGCCGGGTGGAGGAGCCGCCCGCTGGGAGCCGCTCGGCCGCCCGGCGCTGCCCCCTGCTGCCCGGCCCCGGCACCGCGCCCCGCCGGCCCGGCCCCCGAGGGGCGGTGTGAGGGGGAAGAGGTGTGAGGAGGATGAGGCTGAGGTGTGCGGTGAGGCTGATCCCAGCCTCGTCGTCTCCTCCGCAGCCACCCCTCCGAGCCACACACAGCGCGTCCTGCCCCCAAAAAAACATAACATAACCCAGACGCACACGTTAACACAGAACAAACAGCAAAAACACATTAATTACTTTCCTCCTACCTCATAAACCCTCCTAGCCAGCTTCTTGGGTCTAGCTATCCGCATCCGAGCCCTGAGACTCAGTTCAAGCACCCTCTCTCATCCCTCCTTCCTGCCACAACAACAAAAATTAATACTTTCTGGAGCTACACCCCAAAACCAGGAGCCCCCCAAATCGACGAGCTGGGCTGCCGTGTGTCAGCAGCAGCGTGACCCGTGGCTCTGCCGCTCTTTGCGCCAGCCCGGATTTTCTGCCCTTATCTCAGACACCCGCTCACGTTTTTCACCCGTCCAGTTTTTCCCTGTATCAAGTGTTTGCCCACTCACATCCCGTGTAAACCCCTCCTCGTGCCTTGCAACACGCCTGCTCCTGTGTGCCCTTCAGCTCCTGCTGGTGGGGCTCTCCAGGCTGCTGGTGCGCGGTTGCTTCACTCAGCTCCCGAGGGCATCCCCTCGCAGCCTCACCTACCTGTGCCTTCTCTTCTCCCATCACATTTATACCGCTCCGCATCTCATCTGCTGGGTCGGTTCACGGCTTTTCTCCGCTCCTCTCTCCCGCCTGAATTTTTCGTTGTTGCGTATGCAATGATACTCAGCATGCGGCGTGCAGATGCACGACCCAATCTGTGCTTCAGGTTGCTCTGCAACCTCAGCAGAGTACATTCATTCCATCCTTTTTGGAGTCTTACGCCCTTAGACAAGATGAAGTAGGTACAGAAGTCACACGATACGTAGTTGTTTGGGAATATCGACAGTATGCATGTCTGCAGCCCGGAGAACAATATGAATGTAATTTTCCCTGTACAATAAATTAAATTTTTTATGGTGCGTGCTGTTTGTGCTTTGCGTTTACATAGGTGTGTGCATCTGTACACACATTTGTGTGCCGTGGTGGTGTTTTCTCTGTCTTCACATGCACTTACTTTTGTGAGTTTATAGTATGTATATATAGTATGTATGTAATAAAAGTATGGTATTTTTCTACAGATGTGTTTTAGGTTCGCATGTATGTCTTCATACGTGGCCACGTGGCTGTTTATTTCTGCGGGCTTTCATCTGCGATAAGTATTTTTCTGCTTCTAGCTTATGCAGGGTGCATGCTCCTAAAGTAAATATTTATACATTTTGTTTTAATAGTTCTTCCTAGCCCTGTCACTGTATCGTTTCGCTGGGGGAGGGGAGTTTAGCGTTTATGCTGAAGGCTGAAGGAACTCCGAGCAAGCCCAAAACACTCTGGATATTTTAAGAGTTTTATTCTGTGAACTAACTCATGGGTGTCATATACGAACATAACTCATAAACCCCCTCCAAACTGTGTGCTGAACAACAGAGCAGAAGGCCATGTATTTGCATTTGCTTTTCTTGTATTTACATAAATTCAGACGCAGGGCTTGCACCCTTTCACGTAAAGTGAAACCAGCAAAATCTCAGTGTGAGGAGGGGATGTGCACTTTTATGTGTTTGATACGCACTGCTCATCTTTCTGTCCATACCCATTAAAAATCAGGGAGATTAATACTTTTTTAATCTTCCACGGTGCTGTATCCAGAAGCCAGGAGGACACTTCCAAGAATTCAACCCCTGGGCAAGCTTTGCATAGGGAAATGGCTTCCTGAGAGGCGATGTCAATGGGCGCTGCTGCAGGCTGGGAAGCAGCGTGTGTGACACAGCGAGAGGAAACCCGAGGAGTAAAGGGGAGTGATTAAGGATGAGACCCAGCCTGCGAGAAGACTGGCAAAGGGAGGGAGGTTTTGAATCGCTGTTTTTGTGAACCTAACGTAGCACAGATGGAGGTCGTGGTGCTCACTCCGGGTGACAGACGCACTCTCAATACGAGCACAATATTCCGAAAGCATCCCAAATCTGAGCTGGCACACTTGGGGATCAGTTCAGAGCCGTCCTTCACTCGGGACACCCTCCATCAGAATTAGGGCTTGGGTGAGGGTTTCCTAAAGGGCATGGGCGAAGGGAACCAAGGAGGAGATGGCCGTGCGTGGCTCTGCTTTTGTACAGCGAGGATTTATTTGTCTCACAGGGGCTCTGGGATATTTGGATTTACTGAGAAGCTGTCTTCTTGGCCCAAACGACCTGTAAGAAGCGGGTAAAAAGCCAGGCTTTATTTACCTGCGCCGCGTGACGCTCCGTTTGCTTTCGGAGCGCTTTGCCGGGCGGCTGCCCCTTTGGCTGGGGCGTTGAGGGGGAGGGAAGCGAGGCAGCGAGGCGAGGCAGGGAGGAGGTGGGGTCGGGGGCAGCGGCGTCGCTCAGCGCTGCCATTTTGCCCTTGGCTCACCTCCTGCCTGCTGCCTGAGCTCCTTCCTCCTCCCCTTGCCCCCCATCCTCCTCCTTGGGCAGGACCTGGGCGGCTCAAAAAAAAGGACGGAAACGGAGGGACAGGGCTGGCGGCTGTTATTCGTGGCCGAGAACGGAAACGGGGAGCGTGACAGAGGCGAGACGGGAGGCCTGCGCTCTGTGCCCCTCCTGTCCCCTCGGTGCCTGGCGGTTATACCCCAGCGCGTGGTGTGCGTTACATGTGTGTACTGTGCAGAAACATCGCGTGCAAAAAACGCAGATTCTGCATTTCTCAGAACCGAAAAAAAAAAAAAAAAAAAAAGAAAGAAAAAAAAAGGGGGGGTGCATTTCTAGTTCATCTATCCAGGGTTTTGCTCAGCGTTAGCTGTAGTGTTTGCAAGCTCCCTCGGTGTGCTGGAGGGGCAATACCGCCGGTAACGCGCTCTTTGCCAACACTGACACCACTAATCGCAAGGACAGCTGGAGGAGTGCCCTGCAGGGCTCAGCCTCAGCCCCCAGTTTTGGGATCTGACCCCAAAGCGGGAGGCGCAGCCCTCAGCGCCCTCCCATGCCCCCTGCCATTCCGCTGCCCGCCGCTGGGGGGCGCCTGCCGCCGCTGGGGGCCGCCGCTTCCCGCCTCCCCCCCTCCCCTCCCCTCACGGCCCTGCGCATGCGCGCGGGGCGAGCCGGCGGCCGCGGGCGGGGCTGCGGGCGGACATGGCAGCCGGGCCGTGAGCCGCCCCCTCCTCCCCTCCTCCTCCTCCTTTTCCTCCTCCTCCTCCTCACGGGCAGGGGAAGAGGCACGGGGCTGGCCCCGGTCTTCTCCGTGCTCCGGGGGGCGGCCGCGGCGGGGTGAAGCCGCCTGTGAGGAGCGCCGGCCTGCTGCTGCTGCCCCCCCCCCCCCCCCCCCTCCCCTCATCTCCCCTCAGCTCCCCTCAGCTCAGCGCCCGGCGGCGGGCTCGGGCAGCATGTTCCGGCTGATGAGGGATGGGGAGCCGGAGGACCCCCTCTTCGCCATGTGAGTCGTGCTGGGGGGGCTCGGGCAGGCCGGGGGGTGGGCTGCTGCGGCACTGCGGGGGCTCCCGGGGGCAGCGCAGGAGGCGTCGTGAGGGAAAGTAGGCCAGCGTGCCTCGTAGCTGGCTGACAGGAGAGGGGTGGGCTGTCTGAGGTATCGCCTGGCTTCAGGGCTTCTTCCTAGGAAGGTTCCAGTCCAAACGGGGGATGTCGGCTCTCCTGCTTGTTAGCCGCCGCTCTGCGGAAGGTGAAGAAGGCTGTTAAAGGAGTTGTCACGCTGCACGAAACTAAATAAGCAGGAAATTAGTGGCTCCGAAATATAAATCTTGAAATCCGCCAAAAGTGCCAAGAACTGCCCTTGTGTTCCCTCTCACTTCAGTATTTTTGTCTGTCCGCAGACTGGTTGCTCTTGATAAAACTCGCTAGTTCTTACCGAAGCGGAGATAAGGATAAGACTGTACCGCAGTAAGAGTTTGTTTTCATTAAATATGGAGGAATTTGTGCAGGACAAAAAAGTCAGTTTTTTTCTTTACAAAAGTGATGATAATCACCAACTTTATCAGCTGTAAACAAATTAGCAGGAGGGGAGACCTTGATGTCTCAGTTAGTCACAGAATGAGTGTGTGTGCTTATTGATGTGGCGGGGATGAGTCTGGCTTTTATTATGCAAAGCATTTCCAGTAGAGACAGAAAAGTATTGGTTTGTGCTGGGTGCTTTTGTGATCTCAGGAAGCTCTGTGCCGCTCAGGTTATTCATGCTGAGGAAGGATAAATGCAGACTGTAAAATGGGCAGGGAAATGCTATGGTATTTCTCAGCCTCTTTGCTGTGGCTGCTGTCTTTTGTGACAGTTTGTGCCTGTTCTTTCTCTCTCCTTGCTTCTCCAGCATGTGTCAGTGTATACAGCCCTCAAAGTGGAGGCTACAGAAGAAAGGAAAAGCATTTAGGGACCCTAATTATTGTTTTCTTTCATTCTGACTCTGAGACTTTGACCTGCAAAAGCTTTGTGATCTCAGCCTTGCAGGTGTACACGTAACATCACAG